AATTGTGTATTTATTCTTACATATTTAAACTTAAGTCACCTTCAAAGTACTCTTTATTTGATGCAATACACCTATTGAGATGTTTTTTCCACTGCTCTAAAGTTTTTGAACTCGTTTATTTTGATGACTTTTAGTGCTTCTGCCATTTTTTGTTTCACCTTTCACATTGGCAAAACATTTCCCTTTGAGCACTTTTTTCATCCAGGGAAACAAAAAAAGTCACTGGGGTGAGGCTGGGTGAATAGAGAGGGTGGGGCACAGGGGCCATGCTGTTTTTGGTCAAAAAACTGCTGAACACCCAGTGGGGTGTGGGTGGGTGCATTGTCATGGTGGAAGATAAGTCACCTGTTTGCCACGCGTGTTTGTGTAAATCACCCACCACAAAACGGCAAATGCATTGAAATTCTTCGAAAAAGTTCACTGAAGCTCAATGCAGCCTCACACAACACCAGCTGGTACACTAATACAGATAGGTTCCCAGAACACTCACCTAGCAGGGGAAGCCTGTACTACAAGGAGCCTGTCCTCCAGAAGATAATTCCATTTTTTGGGAACCCCGCCTTGTATATGTACATGTGTAAATACTCTTATACTATATGTAGGACTGTGCTAATGCATGGGAATGTGAATACATAATACAAAATAAAAAAAAGAACAGGATATGATATTAGAAGCAATTTATGGCATGATCAATCTGAGAACCTTTTGACATCTTCACATGCTTCCTCCCCACCCCGCCCCCGCTTTCTCACGGCAATAAATGGAGTTAATAAATTGACCGTTCTTCTTAGGTTATACTGAGTTTGTATACCTTTCCTAAGAGAACTGTCGAGAGAACAACAATTAATGCCTGTATATTTCCTGGTTAAGAGTGCTTGATTGGACCTGGCTGAGTAGCTCAGTTGGTTAGAGTCACCCTGCTTTGTCAAGTTTGCGGGTTTGATTCCCAGTCAGGGAACATACAAGAAACAACAAATGAATGCAGAAGTGAAACAACAAATCAATATTTCTCTAAAATCAGTCAATAAGAGTACTTGTTTCTATTAAAAGGAGAAATTTGCTCCTTGGTATCCTTAATGAAGAATGGTTTAGTTTCATCAAGGAACATTTCACATCCATAATTAAAAAAATTTCAGAAAAAAACAGACTTTTGTTATCTTCAACAACATAGTAAATATTTCTAAAATCCTAGGTCACCCTTATCTGAAAGGTATAGTCCCAAGACCCCCGTGGAGTCTGAAACTGATATTTACTGTTTTTCTATATATATCTACCTATGATAAAGTTTAACGTATAAATGGTAAGAGATTAACATTAACTACTGATAAAATAGAATAACTGTAACAACCTGCTATAACAAGTTATGTGAATGTAATGTCTCAGGAACTGGCAAGAATTTTTTCCCTTCACAATTTCACATTTGTTCATACTGTAGATTTTAACAAGCACTCAGCATATATATATTTTTCTGCTCTGAAGTCTAGTATTGTCACTTTTTCACTTAAAGGAAGTAAAGTATGCCAAAGGCTTCTCTTTGGCATATCTGAATTCCCAGCATCACTACTCTTGCCCTTTGGAGTCATTATAACTAAAATAAGTTACTTGAACACAAGTACTGCAATACCATGACAGTTGGCCCAATAATTGAGTTACAAAGTGACTAAGGCCAGGGGAGGGGGGCATATACAGCAAGGACACGCTGGACAAAGGGATGATTCACATCCACATTGGGGCAGAGTAAGATAGCACAGGATTTTATTATGCTATTCAAAATGGTGCAATCTAAAACTTACAAACTACCTCTGTAATTTTTTAATCTTTTTATTTGATGTTAGAAACGGAAACATCAACAGGAGACAAACATGGCTTGCCTCCTGCACGCACCAACAGGGGATCAAACCTGCAACCTTTGGTGTATAGGACAATGCTTCAACCAACTGACCCACCCAGTCAGGGCTGATATTTTCAATTAGCTAACTGGTCCAATTGGAAAAATCAGGGGACTGATTGGTTTTCCACAGAGCCTTTTGTGGGACTGGCTATTACTGTCTCTCATCAATAGAACAATCACCCTATGAGTATTCAGCCAATACACACAAATATCCAAGTACCATCTAGAAACTTTTTGTGCAACTCATCAATGACAGCAAATTCAATAGTTTTGTTTGCCATAAAGTTTCAAGAGCCCCTTAAACTAGATGACTTTCAAAGTCTTTAATTTCCCTGAGACGATATGTAAATATTTGTGTATAGACATGTTGGGTTTATCAGAAGAGGTCTGCAGGGTTAAGGATAGTGTTTCTCAGGTATTTCTAACATGTACTGATCTTTGATAATCTTACATACTTTACCAAGTCGTCACGAGTATGTTTTCAAACTAGACCTCAGTCCCACTACCCTGAGATTATGACATGCCTCCCCAAGTGGTGCACCTCTTAGATGAATACTGGTAAAGAGTAAAACCAAAGATTAAACTGCCACTTAACACAAATTAAGTCTTCAGACCGTTCAGCATTACCATGTAATTCCCAGAACACCACTGTATTCTTTCCCAGTTTTTTGTAAAATGTAGTTAACGTCAAATGTGAATAATCTTGTTATTCAAACTTGCTAAAATTCCACACCAAATTTGACTGTTTCAAGAACAGCCCCTATTTTTATGGCCAATACGCTTCGAAGGACATGAAGATAACCAAGTTGCATTACTTTTGCTCAAAAAGTTGAGACCATAATGGCAAATGGCTATTCTATTAGGTTAGAAAGTCTGAGGGGGACTTTTTACGGAACATATCCTCATTTTAATGCTAGGAATCAATTCAAATGATATACACTCATCTCCTACAACTAGAAATTTGTTTACACATCTGCGGTGTCTTGAATTGCCTTTTCAACTAGTGCAATTCAAGATCTTGTGGTTGACATTCTATAAAATCTTGGTAGTGATTTTTCAGATGTCTCTGTATTTTTATTAATAAAGATTAGCAAAAGGTACAGTCTCTGTCACCATTATGAAAAAAGATACATGGCAGAGAATGAAATAAAAGCTGTGTTTATGTTAGGTATCCCAATAGGAAATGAATTCTTAATGTTTCTAATATTATAAACATAGCTGTGAGACTACGGGATAGTAATATTAAAATTGATAAGGTTTCTGTTAGGATAAACACAGAACTTGATTTAAACAATTTAGGAAGCATATTTAACATGATATATAGGTTAGCTAGTTTATTATAGGTACTTCAGAATTTCTACCCACACCCTCTCAATTGTTAAATCACTTTTAGTTCTCAGTACTTTGGAATGAAACCTTAATACTATTCATTCTAACAGATGTCTATAGCAGTAGCGTTGGCATATTTATTTCAAATTTACATGTTGGCATTCATAGAGCCCCAAATCCAAGTTGTCTAGTCTAAAGCACCTTGTTAAGTAAAAAAAAAAAAAAACAAAAACACACAAAAGCATACTTATTCCCCCTCCAATTCTTTGTAACAGATCTCAATCACCTCCAGATGTAGTGTATTTCTTAAGTCATATATATTAAGACTTGATTGAAGAGTTTGGATTTTGTTTAAAAAGCCTTTATTCATTTTTGATCAGGGAAAGGACAATCTCAGTGTCAACTTGTCACCTAATCATAAACTTGCAACTTACAGGATTCACTGCCCTAAAGACAGTGCACTTACTGACTTTGACAATGTAACTTGAAATGAAATACCCTTTTTGTTCTCTAGGGTTGTTATGTTTAAAGAATAAACAATCCCTTACAAAACAGCCAACACTGGTACTTGGCCTAGATGTAAGGTCAAAATAGGAAAACAGGAACAAAACAGGCCAACAGCATTGCAACTTGATTAGCCCAGCAAGTACAAACATCATTGGAACAAAGTTGTAGGTGCCAAATAAAAATGGCATGAAAAGTTTACACTTTAAGGTGAGGTCAACTATTCCACATGTGAACACATATGCCAATCCTAATAGCTAATATGGAACCATAAAGACAAAACTTAGAAAATCTTAAATCCAGTAACTACATTTAATGTTAAACTCAAAGCTTCGATTTACCCAAGAAATCCTCCAAAATCTAGAGCAAAAACTGCCACTAATGCACCAGGAAGATCTGTATTAATGACATGGTCACAATTAAGATTTTCATTAACATGACTAAAAGCATACCGTTTCCCACTATTCCTTCCTATGCCTGAATATGGATATGCTTAGCTACTCAACTCATGCAAACTGCATTAGAAAACAAAATCTACTACCATGGCTTTTTCTAAGAGCTCACACCACATTAACAGTTAACACCCAATATAGCTTCCTAAGAATACTTTTGGAGAACTGCTCAGTTTGGTGTTTGCTGTGACATAACAGAATACTAATTTACATAGCCACTACTTCAAATACCTTAATCTAACCTTTGCTCTAATAAACTTATCTGCCAAAATCCTTGTATGACAACGTAACTATCTTTGATAACTCTCAAACTGTAGCTCCTACCAGTGTAACAGTGCTTTCCCCCTAGGTATATCTGGACTTTGATCAATTAGTCCTGGTATTATGATTACTTAAAGGTCTAACAGACCAGAGTGTTAGAATATTTAGCAAATCATAACAAACAGCTTTTCCAGAGACAGAAACAAAGCAAAACCATTAGTATCTATGAAAGGAGCTATCAACATGCTTTGTGCCATTAAAGGGGTACTTTTCCTCAGAATATAATCCTTAGAAAACTCATGGTCTACTAGAAATCTTCCACTAATCACAATAGTGACTATGACATGGAGACATCCATGACATCTTAGTTAACAGGTAATGAACACTGGGAAAAGAGAATACATTTAACAAAGATGGGCAACAGGGTGACACTGTAGCTGGCTACTCATAAGGACCACAGTTCCTCCTCATGGACCAATACTCCTTACAAAATAAACCATGCCTTAATTATTGCTTATTTAAAATCACACTTTTACAGAGCTATTTAGTACCTGACACAGAAAAACAATCACATAAGGAAGCATTTATTTGAGGTTTAACATGAAATTATACAAGTAAAATTTGTATAAACACAAATCCACATTGAATCATAACACAGATAGCAAAAGACAAAGTAAAAACAAAGAAAACTAATTGGCGGCTATATACAGTTGGACAGAGTTGTGTCTTGTACACTAGAAAGTCTTTTACAAAATAATCATCTTAGAGCAACAGAAGATCAATCTTCACTGTTGTCCTGCAAGATGGATTACTTTAGCAATCTCCTCCTAAAAATAAAAACAAAATAGCTATTAGATTTGTGCAACACTGACAAGCTTTCAAAGGTCCACTTTCATGAATTGTTTTAAGTTCTCACTTTATTCTTTTCTTCAATAATTAAAGATCACATGCATATTCACTGGCAAAGTGCTTTTTGGGTAATTAATAAATTTGCCCTGGAGTTCCCAAATGATACCAAATTTAAATCTATTTAGAAAAGAAACTGGGAATGCAACCTTCCCATATCCACAGGTTGAACTGTGCTAGATTAGTCTACTAGAAGCATCTCTAGTAAACCAAGTAAAATGGTAATATACACATAAGTTTTTAAGATGATTATATTTCAAGAAAAATTGCTATGTGCATGTGATCTTTAACTTATATCCCAGATTTTAAAGTTCTTGTTTTGGTTTGTAGATTTCACTATTAGCTATAAAAAGAAAAAGCAAGCATTAAATCTTAAAGAATGAACACTTAAAATGAGGCTCCACAATTGAAATACAACACTAAACAGAAGACCAAAATGATTAAGCTGTAAAAAGGCATTTATGTACTTTAACTCCTGTAAAAAACCATTTAAGTTAAGTTTAGACACTTAATCTCGAAAAAGATTAAAAAAGAAGCCAAAGTCTGAAGTTTTCCACTTTAATCTTTACGCTGGTACATGAAGTTGGAAGAGACCATACCACAGGACAGCGTTTTCTGGTGTATGCCTTGCGCTCTGCCCGCAACGTGCGACCCCCAGAGATAGACGTGGTCAGGGTGACACACGGCCTGCAATGAAGTTCCCGCTGGCGGGTACAAACAAGGTATAATGTCAGAGTTAGAAGACAACATTCGTGTTTTCCTTAAGTTGTACCCATTTCAGTACTTTACCTGTTAATAGTTCTAAAAAAGTTTAATTATTCCTCTAGACCACCTGGTACACAAAGCAAACAGAAAAACTTTAAAGTTTTTCTGTAATACTAAAGAAAGTGAGGTAAAACTTTAAAGTTAAAGATCTATAGACACTTTAGGCAAAACAGGCTAATAAAGCAATTAAAAATTAACATCTTAGTAAAAACAGGCTACGTGATATTGTGTTTTTACTTGTTTTTCATTTGTCTATTGATCTTTAAATTAAATCAGACATTTCCACTGGTGTCTTGTACGTTTATACACACCTGTTTTCTCCAATGCCCTCCTTTAGTATGGCTGATAATTGTTTTGGTGATTGCCACCCCCTCGAGATGCCTTGCCATAAGTGCTCTGTTGGCCTATTTTGACAAGAAATTATGTTAAGACAGTTTTTAATGAAATGATTTCATTACATACATTAGTTAAAAATTATTAAATGCATAAAACTGCATGCCAAATAGGACAGTAATCAGATTATTTTTAAAACAATTATAAACTACTCATATACCACATAATCTTCAACATTTATAACCAGTTTCTATATTAGTATAATTATCTGATGACTATCAAATACCTCAAAAAACGTAACTTCAAATACTCCAATAAATGGAAAACTGACAAATTTGAGTGAGAATGCACTTTAACACTAAATTTTAATACCACTGGTTATGAAATTAAGTTAAATATTCTTACCACTGTAGTCTGCATATCCCTGTCCATATCCATAGTTCCCATAGTTATACCCAGTATAATCATAGCCGCCATAGCCACTATAGTTTTGATCACCACCATAGGCACTATTGTAATTTCCATATCCTTGATCATAATAGTTATTAAATCCTTGGTTCCAGTTTTGGCCCTGACCTGAAACAATGCATGAGATTGTTAGGAAACAACTTCTGACCCCTCCTCTAATTCTAACATCAAACGATGCAAATCTTAACTTTATTTCTGAGAGAAAATATTCTAGTTGTTATAAAAGGGGGGCGCGGCAGAAACTCCAATTGTGCTAGTATCAGGCTTCCTAAATGTAATGGGAAATCAGAACAAAGGTAAAGACAAGTAAGACTAACCTTAAAGCAGGAATTCCTGCTCAAAAATACCTATCACACCATTTACATTTAATGGCATTATTTTCCCATCAGTGATGACAATGTCACAGCACCCATTCTTTGAAAAGGTGAAACCAGTAAACTCAATAAAACCAAAAACCCACCCACTCAACTATGCATTCTTCACATTAAGACAATTTAAGTCTGGCTTTACTTTCCTGTTGACTTATTTATATTTTGCAGTTTATAGCTTAAGCCATTAAGCCATTTCCCAAGAATTTACTCTTACCTCGGCCACGACCCCTAGCACCACCTCTTCCACCAGCTGCAGCACCTCTTCCTCCTTTTTGTTGTTGCTGTTGCTGTCTATATACCTCTTTGGGTTGGGCAACTTTGATTTCACACTACAAATTTTAAAAAGCAAACAACGTTATTGAAGTTCTAATGTTAAGCCATTATAGTTTTAAAATAGATTGAGAAATTATTTTGCAAATAAGAAATTCAAAATCCCCATTTAATACAATTATAATGGTTTTACCTTCCCAGAACCAATTTGATGATATCTGCTTTCTAACAATTTCTTTACAGGCTCCTCATCTGTGTATGTGATAAAACAAAAACCTCTTCTTTCATTTGTTTTTGTATCCATGGGAAGTTCAATATTTTCAATCTGAAACCAAAAACACACTCGATCATCCAGCAGTGGTAAAAAGCCACCCCATGGGCTCTTTGCAAGCTTCAACACGTTATTCCAATAATACGACCTGAATAGAGACTATTGCCACTTAATATCAACATCAAAATAATGTTTTAGCTGTTAAACATGTAGAAGGGAGAGCAAAACTTCCTTCATTTAGTGTTATTTTAAATTCCACAAATACAAGTTATTAAGTCCAAATACTGACCACATCAAATAATCCATGTTTTTGCCAAAATAAATGAAAAACTGGTTTCTATACAGCACAGAAGGCAGTGATAAAAGTATGGTGACTGGAAGGAACTCAAGGAGTAATTTAACCCCTCCCCCACCTGACACATGAGCTTGTTCTGTAAGAAGTGGGCCAGAGATGAATACTACATAAAACATAAAATACACATATACAACCACACAAGCGCACCTCACCAAAGGCTCCAAAATATTCTTTAATTTGTTCTTCTGAAGTATCTGGGCTCAATCCACCCACAAAAACCTTTTTGGGGGGTTCCTTCCCTTTTAAAGCTTTGGCCCTTTTAGGGTCTATCAATTTGCCATCCAGTTTGTGTTCCTTCAGTTCCAAAACCTAGAAAACATATTTATTTAATTTGACAGCCAATACACAACCAACCCTCTCAAGAACCTGCAAAAAGCACACAAAAAAGCAGCACCATGCAAAACACATCCCTACCTTATCAACACTAGCAGCATCTTTGAAAAGCACAAATCCAAATCCTCTTGATCTTCCGGTGACTGGATCTGTTTTAATTGTGCAGTCCACAACTTCTCCAAATCGAGACAAATATTCAGTCAGATCTTTCTTGCTTGTATCCCAGCTCAAGCCTCCAATAAACATTTTACTAAAAACAAAAGTTTTTTTTTTAAAGGTTAGCAGCAGCTCAAACGATTACTTCAATTTTGGGATTGTGTGTACTAGAATGTAAGTATAAAAGTTTAATTCCTACGCGTAATTTGATCCATGTTTTTATAACACATTATCACCACCACAAAAATTTCAAAACCCCATCGAGAGGACTTACTCAAAACACAGCTTGCTTTCCATACTGCATAACGCCAAGTTTAAACGAGGCCGAGGGCACGGCCAACAAAATGTTGTAAACACGGTTGCACTTCAAAAAATCCAACTACCTAACTAATCCCTCACAAGCTATGCCCACCTACTTCCTGAACTGTCAAGCCAGTGTTGCACTTAAGGAACTCATTATAACGCATCTGGGGATGTGTACCAGTGCACACTGGTTCTGAAATCAAGGGTTCTCTCAACTCTTCCCAGGAAAAGTGCGCGGAGCCCCAACAGAGACACAATGAAGAGGCGGCGGCAGCTGCAGCATGTGGCGCAGCGAATCAGCCCCTCCCCCTCCGGCCCCACGCGGCGCCTGCGCATTCGGGACCCAGACGCCACCGCCCTCCGCCTCCAACCCCTCCGCCCTTCCCCCACCTTCCGCGGGCCTCTCGAGTCATCCCCTCCGTCTCCTACTTTCCTCTTCCCTCCAAGCTAGTGGGGCCCAGCGGGCACGCGGGGAATCGACTCCGGGCAAGAATGTGGGCAGCGCGCGGATCTCGAGGGACGAAGAACGCGTGCGACGCGCTGAGGGAGAGGGGAGCAGCGTGCGGTACCCGTCATCCTGCTGATTCTTGCTCGCGTTGATCTTGGATCCCTCTGCAAATTCCTCTATGTTGCTGTACTCGTTCACGTCCTCCATGGTGGTGGAGTTGTCGGCCGGGAGGTGCTGGCGCGTGGTTCGAGTCGCGGCAGCAGTGGCGGCAGAGCGTTGTATGGAGCTGGGTTTAAAATGGCGGCGGAAGAGGTCCGGGCGCCGCCTGCGCCCTCCCTTTATAGCTGCCCCGCCCGCCAATCGGGAGGGCTGCTGGGCGGTGACGTGGCGCTGGGCTCGGCGCGCCCCCTGTCGGGCGGAGCTGGGAGCAAGCGAAGGGAGTAGTGGGGCGAGCTGCCGTGGCGCTCGTGGCCGCCAATGGGAGAGGGTACGGGAGGCTAAAGTAGCGGGAGCGGAGGGGAACAATGGCGGCGGCACATGGGAAAGCCGGGGCGGGACCTCCATCGCAGTCCTCCGGTGAGGAGCAAGTTCGCGGGTGAGGGGACGCGGGCTTGGGATGAGAGAAGCGTCTGAAGAGAAAATCGAAGGGGCGAAAAGTCCTGGGTTCAAAAATCCCGAGCAGCGCGGTCGCAGGCCCAAGTCCCTCTTTCCTTGAGAGCCTTTGTCTCCAGCGTCAGGTCCAGCTCACTCCTAGCAACAGCCGACAACCCTGCCTTCCTCCACTCTCAGTCCCCTAGTGCGAAATTGCTGCGACAGCTGCTACCGGTTAGCACCGTAGCCCGCCTGCTCCAGAAAAAGGCGAACTGCACCCGGCACCGACAGATGAGGCAGCGAGCGCGCCTGCCCATCCGCTGCGCGCAAGCGTGTTTTGTCCTCGAGCTGGCTGAAACGAACCGAACGGGAAGCTGGCGCGCTGCAGCCCCTAAGGGCAGCGGCGCCGGCGCCTTTTCCGCTACCGCTATAAGCGCGCGAGCCTAGAGGGGGCGGCGGTCCTCCCTAGCCGCTAGGCCGGAAACGGGCAGCTGCAGTAAGGCCTCTTTTGCTGGCTAAGGACGGAAGGAGGGGCGCAAGCTCGGTCGGATTACTGAAAATAGGCAAAAACTGAGGCAGTGGGCGGGGTGGGGGTTAGATGCCGTACAGGCCAAGAGCACTCACATCCCCGGCGCGCCACTCGCGGGGCTCCCATCTGCACGTGCCCCAGGCCTCTCCCGCTTGCTCCACAAATCTGTGGAGAGCGCAGGCCCGCGCACTCGGCTCCCGCGCTTGCTTTGTTCCCGCCCACGCGAGGTCCATTTTGACGGATAGGTTGGAGGCCAATCGGCGTCTACGCCTTTTCTCCCTTCCGCCCCCTCGGAACACCGTCAGGTCCGCCCCTTTCCCTGCCCACGTGGTCTGGGCCACAACCCCTTGGTACTTCTGGTGTTCCGGTCTCTTCCTCGGCTTCCTTCTCCACTTTCTAGGGCTGCTTTTCTTCTTGCTTCAGGCTGCACGGGGTTGACTGCTTCGAAATTCTCGCGGAGCTGTCGGAAGCCCAGGACGGTGCTGGGGGCGTAGTCGGCGCCGCCTTCCCTACCAGTAGGCCTATTTCTGTGGTAGCATCTGGTAGGGAAATGGTCGTGCTTTCTGTGCCCGCTGAAGTGTCTGTGATCCTGTTAGATATCGAAGGTACCACAACCCCGATTGCTTTCGTGAAGGTGAGGGGCGAAAGGGAACGGAGAGGTTACTTGTGCTTAAAAACAATTCAAGAAATTTTCAGTATTGCAGACCTAGTACACTAGAGGTAGGTGAGGCGGTGTGGCTGTGCACCCGCTGCAGCGGGTTGCGGAGATGCCTTTTCTCACGGCACTATCTCACCCTCCCCCGCCCCTGTCCTTGGTAGATACAGTTGGGTAGAAAGGGATAGAGGTGGTGGTGAAAAAGGGTGAAGGAAGTAATGGTCCGCCGCTGCAGGGTGAGACGAAGTGTGCGTCGCCCGCGGGACAGGTTGAGTGCCCGCTTTCTGCTTGGTTCCACCTGGCGAGGGGGCGGCCTCAAGCTAGTAGTCCTTGTGGTTTTTAGTTCCGAAAAATGGAGTGACTGAAGTATTATGATGACTTTTCAGGTATCCCTGGTTTCTTGTGCTTTATCCTATAACCAATTATTTTTATTAATGTTAACTATTAATGTAATATAATATTTATTATACATTAATTTATTAAAACTGTTTCTAAAAATGCATGCTCATCTAAAAGTATGTTCAGAAGAACATTAGGCCTGTGTGGACGTGTAAAGTAATCATGCGAAAGTGTTCCATTATTAAATGCACTTTTGGGAATTGTTCTGTACATGTTGAACCATCTTTACTTAAAAACAATTATAGAGCTTTGTTATACACCTGCACACACATACATGCTTTGTGAGTCTTCAAGAAAGTATCGTTTCACAAATTTACTTGAACTAAAACCTTTAGCAAAGTAGTTTTAGCTTCTGAACACCTTCTGAAGAGATTGCTATGTTATATTTTTCTTGAACCTCTGAGTACCGAGCTGGGAATTGGGATTAATCGCATTAGGTGTGTGAATTTGAAGCACTATATCCTGTGGAATGATGAAAGGAAACAGTACTTATACATGCGACTTGTATACTTGATTCATCCTTAAAAACTGTGTGAGGTGTCAGCAACTGTTTGCATTTTACTGATAGGAAACCAGGGCTCTGAAAAATCGAACAATAGCTGGGGATTTCAACCTAAATTGTCTAGCTTAAAAACTCTTTTTCCGCTATTGCACTTGATCTCTGAAACGGAACCACAGTTCTTACTTTGTTTTTGCTTGGCTGTTCTGTATGTTAAATGGCACAGTTGATATGAGATCACTTTCAACAATGTAAAGTCGCATAGAAGCATATTGTAGGAAATTTCAGTTTACACTTCTTGGTGATAAATGCTTAGGAGTGAACCATTGGACCAGAAAAACTATAATGAAAATTGGGCATTTGGTTTGAAAATTGAGTATTGTTAAAAATTGTCCTTGAACTACCCTTCAGAAGTCACCCATTTTTGGAGGCCGATTTTCATCTTTCAGTAAGTCATATGCAGTCATTTTTCCTTTAGCGTGGAAACAATCCCTGCTTCCCTTGAGCTCCAGAGGAAGTAATTGGTTTATGGTTAGGTGATACAAATAAAAAATACGTTTTGTCAAACATTAGCCTCACACTGTAAGAGAGGCTGGGGAACAGAGTCTGTCCCAGGGAACAGAATACCCTCATATTGTGGAATGGCAGACAAATTGCCAGCACTGGTTACGGTCCTCCCCTCCCCTCCCCTCCCCTCCCCTCCCCTCCCCTCCTTCCCTCCCCTTTCCTTTTCTTTCTTTCTTTCTTTCTTTCTCTCACTCTCTCTTTTTTCTTTTTCCTGAGCCCTTACAGTTGATGTGCTTAAGTATGCAAGATAGCATTGATAGTCTAGGATCCCTTATAGGATTCTGTAAAATCCTCCCAGCCTAGGAAGAGGTGTTCTGTGGATAGCCTGTTGCTCTATCTGATCATGCCTCAGCCCTTAGACTCCAGGCAACAGCACACACGGGTTTTATGTACCCGCTGTTATATCTTTTTTTCTCAGAATTGTCAGATTTCTAGAGCAGGAAGGGCTCCTAGCTCAGATTGTTTGGTGAGTTTTGCAACCAGCTAATTAATTTCTTCCATGAGTCAATTGATGCCTGTAGGAAAGTCCTGTGTAGGGATCATCACAACTTGGGGGCAGAGCAGCAGTAGAACCCATATTTCCTTAGATGTTCCCAGTGCATCTGAGTCCTCAAGCAGCCAGCCCTGTCCTTCACTGCAGGACATGTTCCCCTGGAGTTTGTTTTCAGATACTGACTCATCCTCTACAGTGGTGATCTCCCAAGGTTTTTTGGTCTTGTACATTATCAGCAGAATTGGAGCAGGCACCACAAATAGAATTTATAAATTGTGTACACATATTATTATTAAGTTATGAAATAAATTGGAACTTAAAGATTAAATTATAAATACAGGTAAATGTTATATTCCCTTACCTTACCCCATTGATTCATTTGCATGCCTCTGGAGTATATACACCCCATGGTGCCTCTTCTTTCTTGCTATTTGAACATGGTGATGTAAATAATGTTCGTTTTCTGAAATTGTGCATTGCGTTATTCTAATGTTATTTTTTTAGTTTTATTGATTTTAGAGATAGAGGAAGGAAGAGAGAGAAACGTGATTTGTTGTTCCACTTACTTACACATTCATTAGTTGCTTCTTGTATGTGCTGTGACCAGGGATCAAACCTGCAGCCTTGGTGTATTGGGACAATGCTCAAACCAACTGAGCTACTTGATCAGGGCATCATTATTCTAATGTTTTTAGTCTTTATGCCATGAAATAACATCATCATCAGCCTCTGTGGTTATCTTATCAGGAACTGTCAACTACTCTTTGAGTTTGGGAAAAAATGATCTCTTGTTTCTGAAAATGCTCTATGATTTGGTGGCTTTCCTGTTGGTATATGTTGAGTTGGTACATGTAAAAAAAGTCACTGAGAACAACATATTAGCAAATACTGAATTATTGCCTCTAGAGCAGGAGTATCAAACTCATCTTCACGGGCTGGGTGGGGGGATGCACATCAGCCTCATGGTTGCTTTCAGAGGGCCGAATGTAATTAGGACTATAAATGTAACTACTGCTTAATTGTTAAGCAAGAGCTCCATGCTGCTGCGGTAAAACAAGGTGGAGGGCCTGATTTGGCCTTGTATTTGCCACCTGTGCTCTAGAGACAATACAGGGTTAGGTTCCTGTGAGCCTCTTGACACAACATTTTAATCAACTTGTTATTATATAATGTTTTATGTGTTTCTGTTTACCTTGTTTAATATAGACTCTTTTTAAAAAATGATTTTATTTATTTTTTCAGAGAGAGGGGCAGGGAGGAAGAGAGAAACATAGGAAAACATCAATGTGGAAGAGATACTTTGATCAGCTGCCTCTGGCAGGCCCCCAGCTGGGGACCTGGCCTACAATCCAGGCATGTGCCCCAAATGGGAATAGAACCAGTGACCTTTTGGTTCGTAGGCCAGCACTAGTGCAATCCACTGAGCCACATCAGCCAGGGCTAATATATATTCTTGATCCATTAACATTGAACTCATGGACAATGGCACTGTAACTCATGATTTAACAAAGCTTATCTAACATGTATTTTCTACATGAGGCACATCAAAGCTTTCTTGCACTTAGGAATACTAGACAGTGCTTGGCTGTTTTTAAACTGCAAAATCACCAATAAAATGTACAAAATGTTAAAAATGTGCCACTAATTAGACTCTGAAAAGGATATTTATTTAAAACATGAGCAGTGAAATAAGGTCAAGGCATCACCATGTGCTGGGAATATGTACATCTGGTGCTTCCAGGTTTTCTTTTTTTTAATGTTTATTATTTATTTTTACATTGAATTTATTGGGATGACATTGTTAATAAAATTATATAGGTTTCAGGTACAGTTCTATAATACATCATCTATATATTGTACTGTGTTCACCACCCCAAGTCAAATTTCCTTCCATCACCATTTATCCCCTCTTACCCCCTTCTACCTCCCCTTACCTTTTTCTCTCTGGTAATCACTAGACTGGTATCTGTGTCTATGAGTTTTCTTTGCTTAATCCCTTCACTTTTTTCACCCAGCCCCCCAACAGCCCTCTCCTCTGACAGCTGCCAGTCTATTTTGTTTGTTTATTCTGTTCATTAGATTCCACATATGAGTGAAATTATATGGTACTTATTTTTCTTTACCTGGCTTATTTTACTTAGCACAACACTCTCCAGATCCATCCACGTTGTTGCAAAAGGTAAGATTTCTTTGTCTTTTACGGCCAAGTAGTATTCCATTGTATAAGTATACCACAGCTTTTTTATCCAGTCATCCACTCATGGGCACTTGAGCTGCTTCCAAATCTTGACTGTTGTAAATAATGCTGCAATGAACATAGGGCTCTATTCCCTTTTTATATACACATTGCTTTCATAGGAGGCTTAAGGAAATACTATAACACAATTTTATTTTGATTGATTCTATGACTTTTCTACTAAAACAACTGCTTAACCGTCAAGTAGATCCATATTTGGACTTCTAAGCAGTTCTTAGGCAACTTATTTAATCAGATCTTCAGAAATTTTGTGGCCCTTAATGGAGCTCTTTTGTAAAACTGTCATAGAGCTGTATAGAGTAGAATAAATTCCTGCGTGCATAGTATTTTTTCAAGCATTTAGCAGAATTTAATCATAGCCCCCTGGAAGATAACTACTCTCATTTATTTTTATTTGCTCTACATACTGCTAAACTGTAAAACCCCCTTAAGTACCTGATAGACCAAAAATAGTCACACATTAGTAGAATCATGGGTTTATTGCTACACTTTTTTGTATTTTAGTATTTTAGTATTACAGTATTCTGAAATTATAAGTGGATTGTAACTGAAGTTAAAACATTTATCATCACAGTTAGTTGTGGAATTATTTTTAATGCCTGAATATTTTCAGTGGGCAGGATTGGGCAATAAACACTGGCTTTAAAAAGTCTATTTTTAGAAGTTTTTTTTTTTTAAGATTTTACTTATTTATTTTTAGAGAGATGGGAAGGGAAGGAGAAAGAGAAGGAAGGAAACAACAGCGTGTGATGCCTCTCGTGGGGCCTCCCCTGGGGAGCTGGCCTACAACCCAGGCATGTGTTCTGACTGGGAATCAAACTGGTGACCCTCTGGGTCCCAGGCTCACACTCGATTCACTGAACTACACCAGCCAGGGCTGTTTTCAGAGCTTTCTAAACATGGTATTATAGCTCATGTCAGACTATGATACAATTACTGACTTTTTAAAATAAGCAACTTGAATGAATTTTATCTTACATAATAGATGCTCAGTAAGTGTGTTGAGAGGATGGATAAGATCTTTACAATTTAATTACTATACTTTTATGTTATACAGTAATACTTTTACACTAAAGTAGAACTGTCTGCTAACATGCCACCCTTAGGTAATACTGATATTCCAGATATTATACTAAATTCTAGCTTCATTGCCTAGTTTGGTATTTACTCAGTACAGAGGAGAATATTATGTGTAAAGGAAAGGGGCAGATAGGATGATAAGGAATTTCAAAGCAATCTCTAACTTCTAAAGCTTTTCCTAAGAGTTTAGAATTGTTAGGAACTTTCATTTCTGTGAGTTCTCTGAGGAGAGGGGCAGTGGTTTATAATTCCATTATCACAAGTACCTGGCATTCAGGAGATCCTCAGTAAATATTGAATAAATGAGTTGGTTGTGCTTATGATTTATCCTCTGGGAACTTTTCTGCTATTATTTATCACTAAATTTGGACCAAAGGTGATCCTTGCCCAGTTTAAATATTTGTCTATTTTGGAGAGCAATATTTATCTCTAATTAGTCCCATGTAGCAGATGAGAAAATAGGCTCAGAGAGGATAAGCTACTTGAACACAGCTAGTAAAAGACAGAGGAAGGACCTGCCTGGCCTGGCTTGCCACCTGAAGCCTGTATTTATCTCCTCTCCCACGGAGGTCAAGGAATTGGGTTCTCAACATTTACAGTTCATTTTGTGAATCATTCTTGGTACCAGTAAAACTGGGTATAGGAGCCCTGTCTGGTGTGGCTCAGTGGAATGAGTGCCGGCCTGCGAACCAAAGGGTCGCTGGTTCGATTCCCAGTCAGGGCACATGCCTGGGTTGTGGGCCCAGCCCCCACTTGGGGGTGTACAAGAGGCAACCACACATTGATGTTTCTCTCCTTTCTTTCCCTTTCTCTAAAAATAAATAAAATCTTTAAAAAAGCTAGATATAGGAAATTGGACTTTGTGAAGCACAAAGTAGTAAAAAACTTCATGCATTTTATCACTTTGGTACTTCAAAGTTACTAGAAGGTCCTGAGTCTAACCAACAATTTTCCGCTAGGAAAATTTCTGCCTACTTGGGAGTTGGGGAATAATGGAGGCAGGACACTGGAGGAGGATGAACAAGTGAGAAAGAAGCAGGTGTAGGTAGGATAAAGGATCAAAGTTGCCTTGCTTGTTTTTTAATTGTGAAATAATTAAAACAGGAAGAAATGTGAATGTAATGACCATGCACCTACCACTAAGCAAATTTTTAATACTATGTTTTTTCAGATCTTAAAGAAGTAAAACATTACAGATATAACTGAGGCCCTGAGTACATCCTGTTTTGTATCACATTCTTATTCATATGTTAGAGTTTATGTTTATATTGATAAAATACAATTTGAGTGCATTCATGTTCAATTGCTTTATAATGTTTTAGATATGAGTATGCCCCAGTTTATCTGTTCTTAGCTGATAAAGATAGAGGGTGTTTCTTGTTGTTTCGCTGTTGTCCCCAATGCTGCAATAAACCTTTTTTTACTTTCTCCTTTGTGCACAAGTGTTAGTTTCTCTATAGTATATGCCTAGGAAAGGAATGGCTGGTACCTTTAGTTCACTACATCTTCTCAGCATTTTCAAGTGGGGGCCAGTTTGCAGCCCTACCACAGTGCATGAGTCAAGGAGATACGTTAAGTATGAAAAGGAAAAAATAAGGAGGGGCACAATGTAGGGCATGATGGGAAAACTAAGTAATTTAAAGAAAATCTGAAGTATAGCAGCAGTAGGGTAAAAGGAATCTCTTGCAGGAAAAGAAAGCTGTCAATCTTGGCTCTTTATTTTTCTTTTAGATCAAGAATGCATTTTTATTGAGCTTAAACAAGGCTTTTCTGTCAAGTATTCTGAAAAATTTGCCTGACCACATTGTTTGTATGCTTCGAAATCTGCTGAATGATCCATTACTTACTGGAATGCCACATGAGAACAAGCAAAATTGAATGACTTCTTTATTTTTTCTAGGGCAGGTGAAATTTGAATAACATTATGAAGAGATAAAAATTCCAATCCTACCATTTAAAAAAAGCCATAATAACTTCATTGTGTTGTATATTTTCATTTGGGAGTGCAGTTTAAGTTGAACTTAGACTTGGGTCTTCTGAAATATTGAAAAATTCTAATTATGTAGCCAAACCTTTGTTTGTACCAGTCAAGGAAACACTATGCACACTAAAAAAATACATAATTTTGTTCATATGAATCTATTAACTCTGTCCTCTAACCATATCATCCCTCAATTTTCTGCTGCCGCCTTTCACTTTTTTGCCCTTGTTTAATCTCTTGTCATACATAATATTTAGGAAAATATAATGGTCTAGAAGCTTGTAACAAGGAGGTCGAAAGGGAAGAGAGGAAGAAAGCACAGATCACTGGTTTTAAGATGTTCCCTACACCCCACAAAGCTGGGCTGAGGGCCGGTTCTGGTTATACTGATCAGAAGAGAGGGGTGCTCTGTTTGGCACAGATGACTCTGTGATAGCACGTGCTGGAACTTCATGAATTGAAGGCCATCCTTATTACATTTAGTGAGCCCTCTTTTCAGGGAATAGGAATGTTTATCTTTAGGGCCTTTTGCACACCTCAAAGTGGAGTGGAAACATTTGAACACCTGTGTCTTATATCTCTGGTCTATATGCTCCATAGATAGGTACTGCTGAGAACCTTTCTCTCCCCACACCGTTCTCTCTCTGTGCAACATTATTTCCTCTGGTCTTCTCTGGGTTACTCCTATTCACCTTGTGGTTCTCAGACTTTTTGTTTTCAGGATTCCTCTCAATTCTTAAAAGTTCCTGAGGAGCCAAAGAACTTTTATTTATGTGGATTATATTGACTAGTATTTATCATATTAGAAATTAAAACTGAGTAATTTAAAAATAATTATTCATTTAAAACAATAAATGCTATTACTTTGTAAACATAAATAATATACTTTAACAAAAAAAATTTTAGTTTTGGAAAATATGGTTGGAAGACTGGCATTGTTTCACATTTTTTTCATTCCTTCTCAATGTCTGGCTATTGAAGACAGCTAGATTCCCTTATCTGCACTGGATCTGTTGTGACATCACATGTTGTGTAGCCTCTGGGAAGCTATTGTACACTTCTGAAGAGATGAAACTGAAAAAGGCAAATAACTTAATATTATGAAAGTAGTTTGACCTTAATAGAATCTCTGAAAGGTCTATTTCTACTTGAAATTAGGGATCATGTGTGGTTTTTGTGTAAATGGGACCCCAGTTGTGTTTCCAGCTCTTAGCACAGGGCCTGCCCTGTGTTGGACATTCAGTAAATACTTGAATAAATAAATACATGAATGAACTTGAATAAACAAATTTATTGAATTCAACTTGATTATGGAGTTCTTTTTAAAATACAATGCTTTCTCTGAATTGTGTATTTAGGGTCTACACTCAAAGCATATTTTCAAGACTGGTTGGTTATTCCTAAGACTGTTGAAGAGACATGATGCTCTGGAATCATGCAGTGTTCTGCTCATATTCTGTTTATCTTACCATTGTACCTCATTATAATTCTTTGTTTACCTGCCACCCCACCTCCAGATTCTTAAACTTGTTGAGAATAGGTACTTTGACTTATTTATGTTTTCAGTCCTTTTCCCCATGCCTCACTCAGGGACTAGCATATTTTGGCATATAGTAGACACAAAACAGTTGTTGGAAGTGCCACATTTTATTTGATAAGGTACATATGCTACAATTGCAAGTAAATGTAAAGATTTTGACCTAAGAGAAATCATAATCCCAATGCATGGATTACTGATAGGTTATTTCTGAATTGTTTTGTACATTACTACTAGGGTAGTCTAGTAAGTAGTCTGATTACCAAGAATCATGGTGATCAGGTTTTGTTTTAAAAACATTTGTCATGCATGGACACTATTATTTCAGCAGACATTTGAGTTATGTACATGTGCCGAATACTGTGGTGTGCCTTGGAGTTACAACTGTGAGCAACATATACTTGATCCCTCTTTTAAAGACCTATGGTCTAGCAATCTAGTTCCAGAGTCAGCAGGCTTTTTCTGTACAGGGCAGAATAGTAAGTGTTCAGACTTTGCAGGCCATATGACCTTGGTTGTAAACACTCAGTTCTGCCATTGTGGCCCCAAAGTAGTTGTAGACACTATGTAAACATGAATGTGGCTGTGTTCCAATAAATTTCATTCACGAAAACAAGAGGTAGAACAGATTTGGCCCAGGAGCCATGGTTTACTTATTCTTGATCTAGTTCATTTATTTCTTGTTCTCTGTCTCATATATCCACAGCTGCTATTTTCATATTTTCAGTGACTTATTTGCTACAATTAGCTAAGGTGATATTGTTGAAGAGCTTGATCTCATGCAAATGAATAAAGTTGATTCTTGTTTCTTTTGCTCTTTTACCAGGACATTTTATTTCCTTACATCAAAGAAAATGTTAAAGAGTATTTGCAGATACACTGGGAAGAAGAGGAGTGTCAGCAGGATGTCAGTCTTTTGAGGAAACAGGTTGGGACATTGTTATTCTATTTCTTCCACATTCCCAAGTGTCTTAGAAATAGGATTCCTAGAGACTTATGCCTAAGCCCTTTGTGGGTGGAATGCAAAAGGTTTTGTGCTGTCTTTTCACATTTTTCATTAATGTCTCAGTGACAGCACCTTATCTCCTCATTCTCCACTCTTTTCTGGCTCCTGGCATGAGCCCCTGCTGAGCCCTGCACAGTGCTCCCGGGCCCTCACATCTACACACTTTCTCCAGACCTCTTACCCCAGCTCACACTTGGCCCCACCATCATCTCCACCTGAGTCTCACATGCTTATTCTGCCCAGTTTTCAGTCTCTTTTTTCCCTTCTGCGGTGTGCTGTGGATCTCCTGTTTTGTTGTTTTTCCTATTAAAATTACTTCAGTGGCAAAGATCTCAATATGCTGTGCAGAGCTAACTCTCTGGCAGTTTTTTTCTTGTTAATTTTCTATATTGGACAATGTGGAACACTGAATTTTTTAATGTTAAAAGTTAAGATTGGAAATATAGGCATATTCTTTGGGGCACTGGGGTATTTCTGTTTGTTGGATTTTCTAGATAATTCATGGTTAGTCTGAAACACTCCCCTCCTTTGCCTTTTTTGTTGTCTTCAATTCTTGTTGAAACATGCATACATATTCCTGCATTGTAGGATATGAATCATTGAGTTTTTAGATGTTAGACACAGGCGTTGTCACATTGTCAGTCTTCCAAGTAGCTGTTAAGAGTTTTTGCAATATGTGGATTGCAGGAAACTGTGAACCAACCTCAGACATTACTTCACTAGCTTCTTTTAATTGAACTCCAGGCATGAACTAATTTTAAAGGTTTTCCTTATTTTTTTTTCCCCCCTCAGTTATAGTACAGAGAAAATGAACAGATTTAATTGAGGTCATGGTTTGTTGATCATAGTAATTGAATCAGTAAACCAGGTTTTATTATGTCATTTTATCATGTGCTGTCTCTCTTCTCACATTAATGCCTCTTGGTTTAAATTTCAGCTTTAGCAATATAGGAAAGGTAAATATAAATTATTAATCCAGTTTCTTTTAGGAATCATTCAGATCAGCCACAAAATGTAAGATACTTTAAATTTGTAACAGTGCTTGGTGCTAAAGATATTTAGAGAAAGTTGTTCAGCTTGGTTGTCATGTATCATTTTAAGTGCTCCTTTTTCAAATAAGAAACAAACTACATGTTGTTTATGACTTGAAGGCTGAAGAGGACTCCCACCTGATTGGGGCTGTTCCGATCCCTGCTGCATCTGAAAATGGGGCAGATGACCCACAACAGACGATCCAGGCTGTGGTAGATAATGTGTGCTGGCAGATGTCTCTGGACCGAAAGACCACGGCACTGAAACAGCTGCAGGGCCACATGTGGAGGGCAGCATTCACAGCGGGGCGTGTGAAAGCAGAGTATGTAGGCTGCTCACGTGACTCTGAACATTTCACCAGCCTCAAAACCAAACACATTTTCTACTGGTCCTCTTTCTCCAGTGTTGCTCAACTAGTAAAATAGATAAAATCAACATTCTTTTTATTCTAACACATGAATGCTTTGTTTTCAAAACTGGGATAAAAATTTCACCCAGCTAAATTCCCCAAACCTGATGTTTGTCTTAATAGGATGGTTGAAGGACTTTTAATACCAGTGTGAAAACGGCTTCCTAGAAAATGGTCACTTTTTAAATAAGTTGTATTTGATCCTTTTCATAAGAGTAATAGCACTGCTGGGCTGCTTCCCAGGACCATTAGACTACCTGTTTTCTGTTCTTTTAGAGAAGCAAGAACTATACTTCTGCACTCCCTCACTTTTGGGGATACTCAGAGTGTCAGCAGTGCCACTCTGTTTTGTGCTCTTTTGAGCACCTTCCATAGACCTTTAGTCTTGGTTGTGGAGTTCCTGAGCACTCTTGCTTAAGGAGACTCAGGAGTCTTATGTTGCTCAGGTATTAATAAGGCACTGCCACTGAGGGGTTTAGACCATTGCGTGATGTAAACCTTAAGATCCAAGACCGTTTCTAGCTGCCTATGTTTCTTTTCTTTCTTTCTTTTTTTTTTTTTTTTTTGCAAATGAGATGCCATTTCTTTATATACTTTACAAGGGGCTTCCATTGTTTAAAAGATGCATGGAATGTCAGGATAGGCCAGTGATATGGGAATATCAGCTAGATTGCTTTGTAAAACATTCAGAAGAGGAGCCAGGAGACTATGCTTGAATTACTTAGCCCTTCCTTCTCTTGGTCTTGGTTTCTCAATTATAAAACCAGGGACTTGAAATAAATTATCTTAGACTTCTAAGCCCTTATTTGGAGCAATAACAATGTGCATATTCAACATGGAAAAATTCTCTCTCTGTAAGTACAAAGTAGCACACAAAATTATTCACAATTATGTGTGCTGGTTTTGAACTAATGAATCTCTTTTCTTCAATTAGTTCAACATATTAAGCTGTTTTATGCAGTAGAAGATTTCTCTGAAATTTTTCACTCTTTTAGGGATGACTAGCTCCACATCCCAACTTCCTTGTGCTTCTCTTTTCATTCATCTTCATGATATTTCCACCACTGAAGAGAACAGATAAAATAGATTTGGTAAACAAGACAATGTCAGGAATTAGAAAAACAGACACTTTACTGATCAGCAAATGTGTGATGGTACAAGTTGCTTATCTGATTTGGTACATAATTCTTTTTTCTGTGTAGTAAAACTTGAGGTTTTCTTAATTCTCAGGAAATACAGTTCCATTTTGTAGATAATCAAAAATTACTAGCTTGAGCCCCCAAACATGTTTTCTTTTGTTGGGGTACAGATCTGTCTAAAAGTATTCCCATGCTTTCTTAAGGCACACTGGATATCATTTAACCTTCTCTTGTCATGTATTACATTGAAGATTCCACAGTAGTACAATATTATTGTTTGCTTTTTTGAGTTCTTTGGGAATTTAAAAAGTCACTTTCTGCCCTGATCAGTGTGGCTCAGTTCATTGGAGCATCATCATGTAAACTTAAAGGTCACAGGTCTGATTTCTGATCAGGGCACATGCCTAGGTTGTGGCTTTGGTCCCCAATTGGGCACATGTATGAGGCAACCAGTCAGTGTTTCTCACATTGGTGTTTCTCTCCCTCTCTCTCCCTACCTTCCACCCTCTCTAAAATCAATAAGCATGTCCTAGGGTGAGGATTAAAAAAATTACTTATTTCATTCTGTTATCTGTAATAACTTTTGACTATCATTAGTGGGACTGTCAAAAACTACTCTTTTTTCCACCTGAATTGTTGCTTCTGATCTGTGATTCTAGAACTCCATTGACACTCTTATTAGATTTGCAGATGAAGTCTTATGGAGTTGCTTCTCACGGAGACCATTTGGGCACAGATAGAGAAACTCGTGACAGCTGTTTTGACTGTTTTTCATCTGGCTAGATAACATGTTCCTGCATTTTAACTTTTGTTTTCTCCAGGTTCTTTGAAGATGTAGTTCCAGCAGTCAAGAAGTGGAGAGAGGCTGGAATGAAGGTGTATGTTTACTCTTCAGGGAGTGTAGAGGCACAGAAACTATTATTTGGGTATTCTACAGAGGGAGATATTCTTGAGGTAGGTTACCTAATCACTTTGTTCTTTGACACGATCAAAGCATGAAATAATGAATGTTAAGGGATATGCTACAGTTACAAGCTAAATTAGCATTCAGGCAATTGCATTTATATATGCTAAGCTCTTTGTACGGGGAAGTGGAAAAACTGGGGAATACATTATAAGCAAGGGCAAAATGTTCTGTGTTACCAACCTTTACATCAATCATTCGTACACTTTGTTGTGCATAAGGATCACCGGGGGAGTTTATTTAAAATATAGATCCCTGGGCCCTGCCTCCCAGAAAATCTGAATTGGCAGGACTGGGGTAGGGAGTCAGGAATCTGCATTTTTAAATATCCACTCTAAGTGATTTGATGATGGTAGTATTAGAACCATATATAAAATACAGCTAATAAGACATGAGCTAGCTTATAAATAAGCTATCTTGCCAATGTTAGGAAATCGTTAGACCAAAGGAAGCTAATGTCATGCTTTTTTGTTGTTGTTGTTTAAAGTATCAGGTAAAGTATAAAATAGTGATATATGTCACTATCCCAAAACAACAACAAAAAAAACCCCAGAGTTCTTGAATGCAGCAGAGTAAAGGTGCATTGATTGTTTCTAGTGCTTTGGAGAGCTACAGATTTTATTTGAGCAGACCTAACATTCTTTTGTTAATTTAATATAATTTTATTTTTAATCCTCACCTGAGGATATGCTTATTGATTTTAGAGAAGGAGGGAGAGACAGAGATGTGAAAAAGAAACATTGATTGGTTGCGTCCTGTATGTACCCCAACTGGGGATCAAACCTGCAACCTAGGTATGACTGTATGCCCTGACTGGGGATGGAACCTGCAGCCTTTTGGTGTAAGGGATGCCAATCCAACCAAGTGAACCACCTGGCCAGGGAGAACCAGCATTCTTATGTAAGAGAACTGGGTACAATATTAAAACAGTGAAGGTCACCTATTAAATCTTGTTCATGAAAAAATTCTTGTTAACCCTGTGTCCCACCATCCATCTCTACGTCCCCTGGAGGAGACTGGTCATTGGAAGAAGGGAATACTTTAGGGCCTCAAAAAGAAATGCTAACTCAATCAATGCACACTGAATTTAGTGATACACAGTAGGTCACCCAGACAACTATTTTTTAAAATAAATATTTATTGAGCTTCTGTATACAGGGAACACTTTGGCTTTGATAATTATATTCTCATTTTATTTTTATTTATATTCTAAATAAAAAATTCAGTCAGTAAAAAAATGTAATTATTGATAACTATTGCCCTCTGAATACAGATGTAATCCTTTTCTGCTCTCTCTGGTATGACAGACAATAAGGTGAAGATAGGACGTGATAATTATCTACTGAGTTCAATAGTGAAAACTTTATTCTTCAGTTACTAAATGAGGCAGAACTTGAGAGAAAAAAATGTAAAACCATTTTTAACTTTTTATAAGTTAAAAAAATCATAATGTTACCTTAATTTGTCTTTGAGTGGTTGTTAGGCTTGTTTTTTAGTTTGTGAAAAGTTCTGAAAATATTGAAGAGATTACATTATAAAAGCTGATCCTTAATATGGAATTGTTTTAATTACTGTTGGTTAAATTAGCAGGTGACAGTTTGGCCTCAATTATTTCTAAGATGACAAAGGTATACTATCTCTTGGGTAGAATTTCAAAATGTTTTAATCAGAAATTGAAAGGTTGTTGAAAGTAAAGTAATAGCTTATTAATGAAGCAGGTTAGAGAAATCTGTTCGTTCTGGGGTCAAAAGGACAATGGTCAGAATTTTTCTTCAGGAGTGATACGTATTCTAGTAAGTAGTTTGAGTGCAAATAGTATTTTAAGGGTAGAAAGTAGGGCATGTGTATTTTTAAAGATTTTGGATAAAAAAATTAATGCTAATGAAAGAAACAAGTAGATTATAAAATGACCTTATATGTGTTGAACTGGTAGTCTTCTCCTTTCAAATGTATATTGCTATGAAAGCTTTGTATATACTTTTGTAGCCCTCACAAAGTAATCTGTTAAGTAGATTTTCAATTGTATACTGAGTGAGTGAAGTTACTCTGATTGTTACTCTGATATTTCAGAGATAAGGGATAAGAAACAAGGGGTCCAGGTTACAAGTATACTTATAGTGTCAGTCTTTCCCATTTCTGTATTCAGCTTATTGACGGTCACTTTGATACCAAGATTGGACACAAAGTGGAGAGTGAGAGTTATCGAAAGATTGCAGACAGCATTGGGTGCTCAACCAGCAACATCTTGTTTCTGACAGACATCACTCCAGGTGAGTAATCTGACTTCCTGCTCCAGGATGGGATCTGAGGCTGGCCCTGCAAACACATTGCCTCTTTAAAGAAAGTGTATATGTAGACCCGTGAAAAATGAAAATTTTATCAAAAGAGGCAATGAACCAGCCAACTCACCTCTCTTTCCATTTACCAGTTCTTGGGGTTTGTGTGTGGGGAAGTGGCATTGGAAAGACTAATTCTTCTCATTTTTTCTTTATTCATGGTTCCCTACCCATCCCTCTGTACATGCATACACACACACACATACAGATGAAATGGAAGAATAAGAAAGGATGACTTAAGGGCTTCAGTGTGGGAGTGAGCATGCATACAAGAATATGACGGTAGATGCATGGCTAATTAAGGAGAATAAAGGCACAGTGGACCTGTAGCAAATATATTTAACAGCAGTGAGAGCACATATACACAGCCAAAAAAAGAGAAAGAGGACTCTAGTTTGAGTGATTTTGCCTCATTGTCATTCCAGTTGATGAACACTGACTGCCCTGTGGTGACTAGGTGCCTCACCCCTGCCTTCCCTAGGACCATCTCAGGCCCCCAGGAACCCCTCATGATTCTCCTGTTTAAAGACAGCATTTTTTTACCCAGCATGGCCCTCTTTATTTTATATGGTACATTATCAGATGCACTAAACAATATATGCTGTTCTTTATTGGCAATTTAAGTGATTTCAAGAGTGGTTTAAAACATGTACTCAAGAGTCCTCCACAGAATTATAGAGGGAAACAGTGAATAAAGAAATAGAACAGCAGGTAAAGAGGTGGAGGGTGCTGGAAGCTGTGGTCTCTGCCATTCTTACCTGAAAGCCCTAGTTGGTGAGGCTTTCCTACATTTACCCACCTGGCCCCTGCTTTTGATTTCATGCTCATTCTTAAGAGTTGTGCGATTCCTAGGGGGCCTACTCTTGGTGTGTTTACAATTGCCCTTGTATTTGAGGTAGTTCTGTATGTTTACATTTCTTCTACTTGCTTTGGATTGTATAAGTTTCACCTTCCTTTCACACCCAGAACGGGGCTTTGTGTATTGTACAGCTGCTCTGACACTGTCTGTGCTGAAGGCTGGGGAGGGTATTGGGGAAAAGAGGCAGAGGTCAGGGAGTGGTCTTTTGCCTAGTTGGCTCCACATGGCTCCTGGGCCCCTTGGAGGAAGCTTTAGCATTTGTTGGAAGTATTCCTCCCTTTAGCCCTCTGTCTCTTGTCACAACTAAAGCCATCCTCTTCACTAGAACTTTCAGAGATAGGGCCCAAAGGCGATCCAGGCTGCTGGCAAAGGTGTCTCACCTGTTACCACAGGTGTAGGAATATATTTTTTCTACTTCTGACCCCTTGCCCTTTTGGTTTGTTGTATTAGGGAAGAGTTGTAGGTATATAGTAAGCAAGTACTAATTTGCTTAGCAGTTTTGAAAAAAATCTTAACCAGCATGGATCATTTAATGCCTTCAGTAACTTACGTTTTTCAGAGAAAGAGGGGTAAAACAGGCTTAATTCCACCTGACATACAGTAGACATTCAGTAATCATGAATACCTTGGTTACATTTCAGACCTTGGTGAATCTAGATTGGAATTTTTGACTTAGGAAGACAGTATTTAGTGAGGATCAGCCCCTGTCCTGCATGTCCTGTCTTGGGTCAGCTTCAGGGTCTAAGGGCTTCTGTCAACTGGTGTCTCCTTTTCTGACATACTGGAAAGCTTTAAATTTGCATGTCTGGCTGCACTGAAAGTGAAAGACAGATGCACGGACATACTACTTCACATTCATTGTGTAACTAGATAGCCAGGCCACTTAAATGTACCATCAGCAAGCATTAGCTGTAACAGCAAGCATTTCACCTGGCCTCTACTTTCAACTGTAAATGTTAGCTTGTCATATTTCTCTGTAGAAACCTTTTACTGGTTTCTATAGAAAGCTATAATGTACCCTTCTCCTTGAATGGTTTTTGGGGGATTAGAGTGGTGGGGTGGGGAGTTGGCTTTACCGTGTACATATTTAGGGATGCACCAGCAGTTTCTGTGAGGAATGATACTTTTGCTCCTTATGGAAGGGAAACAAGCTTTGTTCTGGTGAATTTGTTCGGTTTAATCTGTAAATTGCTTTTCTTTAATTCACATAAAGAGGGCTATGGAAGATGAAGGTCTATGGTTTGTCCTATATTTAATTTTCTTAGCATTTTTGAATGGTAAGTTTCTGCAGGCTTAAAATTAGGAATCTGCTTTTTGGCTGAAGTTCCCCACAAAGTCGGCCTGAGCATTATATGCTCCCCAGCACCTTGTCCTATCTCCCACCTTTAGGTTACTATTAATGATTACAGTCCCTGCCCTAAGGCCACACTTATAGTTTCTTCATAGTCTTGTTTTTCAGCCACATTTTTTTTTTGTCTAGTCGCCATCATAGTACATCTATAATTTTAGGTATATTCTTCTTCCTTAAGCCATTTCCTTCGGTTGCAGTCACAGATATTACTCCTGTTCTTTTTTACAGACTAGAGATGGCCCTCAGGTTGGCCTCACAATGAAATTGGTTCCCTGAGAGTCCTCCACAAAGAGGTTATATTCCTGCCCCTAGACTTCTGCCAGCCCCATGCCCTGTAGTGATGTGGACCCCGGCTCATGGGGTCCACCACATTGTGGATGAGATACGAGAAATTCACATGGACTACAAATCCTATGGAGGAAAAGGGACGGCATGGCTGCTCTCTCAAGAGGAAAAAAAACCTCGGCTCTTGCCGTGACAGGCCTTTATTCTTTTCTGGGTACCTTACCTTGAGGATAGTCGTCATTTACTATGCACAGGTTCACTGCAGGGTACTATCTTTCACAAATAACAAAGGAAAGAATGCTGCTAATTACTTCAAAGAGAAGGATGTTGCAGAAAAAGGGCAAAAGTGGTTGAACTGATTACACTCTATACTTGGGAGGTTTAGCACAGACTTCAGGAAGTTACAGTAAGCACTTGCTGCCTCAATTCAGGGTGAGGGAGTTTTAGCAAAAGCAAGCCTCATAGCAATCTAGGTACAATGCAGGCCTGATTCCCCATGGGAAAACCTCTCCATGGGTGTGGTCCTGCCTGCCCACTGATTCCACTGATTTTCCACGTGGGGGCTGAGCTACAATTCCACGCCATGTGAAGCGGTTCCCTACACTGTAGTAGGACCAGAACTGGGCCCATCTGTAGCTGGGTTGGGGCCTTGCCTGGCTGTAGCCCATCTGTAGCTGGCTGCCTATCTTGCTATTGTCTATTATCTCTGAACCTGTGTTTTGGTACCAGGTGCCCAGACTTCTATTGCCAAGGCAAAGTGGAAGACCAAGTGATATCCCCAATATTGATTGGATTGGCCAAAATGTCAGTTTTTTACTGCCAAATAAAACACATTTTTCACTTTCACCAATAACTTTATTGATCTGGATATTTTGAGTATGTTGGCTATCTCCCGCATAGTGTAACATTGACTGTTCTCAATTAGTGTCTCCACTTGATCGCTATCAACTTCAACTGATCTTACCTAACTGTGGAGCATCATCCAGCAAGAAGTCTGTAGCACAAAATTTTGCAAACCACTTTTGACACATTTGATCAGCCTCAGCACCTCCTCCATACACTGCACAAATCTTTTTTAGCGTTTCAGTTGCATTTTTACCTTTCTTGAAATAATAAAGCACAATATGTCAAAAATGTTGTGGATTTTCTTCCATCTTCAAATGGCTACAGAAAAATTCTATTAAAATGGCTACAGAAAAATACACCAATTTCGATAAGTTTTTTTTATTTAAATGTGCACTGATATGACAGCTGTCACAATGCAGTCTAACAAAATTGTTTTGAATGAAGTTAAAGACAACTAAGCACTACTAGAGCCATTTTGGGGAAAAAACAAACTTTTTTGGGCAACTCAATCATACCCAAGTGTAAAGGAGAAGTGAAAGACTTTCTCCCTTTGGAGGAAAGGAAAGGGGTCCAGGGTTTTAAGTCAAATGTTAGCTAAGTGTCTCATTATATGAATAGAACAAATATATGCTTAGGGAAAAACTTCATGGTGATCTAGGTAAGACACTGAATGTCATTTGCTAGTGTCAAGTCCCACGTGGTCATGGATTGTGGATCATGATGGCTTAGCTTAGTGGGTATCCCAGATTGCTCATTAGAAGGAGAGCTTTGCTTGAGGCACTTGGCTGGGAACTGGGAGTGGGAGGCAGCTGCCTCTTCTGCTGGAATGAATGGCATATGCAGAATTTGCCTGTGAAGGAAATGTTAAGCATTTGTATTGCCTGGAAAGATGACATCCCTTTCACAGGAAGAGCAGAAGATCAACACTTGGGATGGGAGGAGGAAGAGATAGCTCTGTCCCACTTTTCTCTGGGAACTCTCTCAACACCACTGCCCTTGATCCATTCAGATACTGTAACCTTTCTTTGAAGGTTGAGAAACTATTAAGGGTTTTTTTTTTATACCAAATCTAAATTCCATAGAATGTATTTCAGATTCTTTCCCAGTTTTATTCTGTTTATCCAAGTATTCCCTAACTTTCTGACCTGTGTTTGGGCTCCCATTCCAGTATTTGCACAGCTATTTTATGTCTGCTTAGCATGTATCCATTCTTGCTCATTTCTTTTCCCTGAAATTTTTTATCAAAATTCATCCTCTGCATATCCTAATTCTGTAGTTCCACATTGGGGACCTGAGATTCTGCTTTTTAAACAAGCTTTCAGGTGATTTCCCTCACTTGCTGGTCCATGGACCATACTTGTAGTGGTAGTACTCTAGAGCAGGAGTTGGCAAACTTATTCTGTAAAGGCCAGATAGTACATACTTTAGGCTTTGCAGGCGTACAGCCTCTGTCACAGCTGTCCAGCTCCACCTTTGTAGTGTGAAATCAGCTATAGATAATACACAAATGAATGGGTGTGGCTGTGTTCTAATAAAATTATGTTTACAAAAACAAGTAGGCTGTAATTTGCTGACTTTCATTCTAGAGGAGAC